GGTATCGGAAAGCCGTGCCACTGTACTAACGAATGTCAAAGAGGATAGGAATTCCGCAGAGCAGCGTAAATCGTATCAATGTCCTGCGCAAGTCTCATGCTCGGCGTCAACCACTCCCCTCGAGCGAAAGAGAATCGCTCCTCCGCTTGCCGCTGCCAAGCTGCCCAATGCTCTTGAGGCTCGAAGCGATCCTTTTCTTTTTCTTATGTTTTCCGCCCGCGGCTATTGTTGAATCGTTTGAGAGAACAGGTGTCAGTTCAACTGGTTGAGGTTCGTCAATGAAGGCAACATCATTCTGCGCCGAGTCATCGACAATTCCGGAAATGCCTCCGCCTCCGACCAGCCGAATCGGCGGATCAAGCTCCCCAGTGTCCTCAGCTTGAATGAATACAGGTGAATCATCATCCACCTTCCCCACGAGATCCAGTACAACGTCGTCGATTGAAGCGTGTGAGGGTCCAGAGTGAGCAGGGTGGACATCTATGTCTGACGAAGCTAGCAAGTCAGGCGTATGAAAGGAGGCAGGCCCAACTTCTATGATGGTATCCGGTGAGTCTGTCAAGACTCTCGATGGAGGAGAAGGTATCCGAACTGGATCGATTGGATTAGACCGCCTGCGTATATCGTGTGGTGTTGGTGGCTTTGAGAGTGGTATAGTGGATACTGAAGAATTGCTGTCGATCTCGCGCATGACTATGCCACCACCTGCTTCCAAATCGTCAATGGGGAGAGAACGAATGTCGGCAGGCGGCGAGCTTATAGGTTCAGGCGTGGGAAGTTCCACAGGCAAAGGTGCTGGAGGCTTGGAGACCGAAATCGAGGGCACTCCTGGTCGCGAAGGCTGACTCGTGTTGGTTACATTGCCCAAAGGCGTTGTAGTAAGTGCTGATGTCTCTTCAACCTCCGAGAAGACGGGAATTGGGACTTCGGCTCCAGAGCTACTTGGTAAGCGATCAAGAGATATTTTCTCTGGGACCTGAGGAGAAGTGTCACAAGGAGTAAAGACATAGCCATCGACCAACTTACCTTCCCCTTCTCCCATACGGGATAGGATTCATTGGAGTATAGACCAGCTTCCTGCCATCTCCGCACACTGCGATCCGCCCATGCCTCTAAAACATTCCATCCCCTGTATTCGCCTGCCATCCGCAGTCCGCCAGTACCAGCATCACCACCAGTATCTCCCTGACCTCCACCAACACCGTCGAAGAAATAGCTTTCGTATCCGACCGAATCTTCGCTACCTTCGCTTCCGTCGTTGGCCCCGCCAAGCTCAAATCCTTCTCCGCTCTCCAGCTCATCTACGAAACTCGCAAGCCATTTTCCCCAGCCGCTGGGGCCGTCCCCCCTCCACATAACCACCTTCGTGTCAAAATCCCGACCAAAGACGATGACCTGACCGGCGGCGCCACCTTCTCCGGGATTCATGTCTACTCCAAGATAATTGCCAGCTTTGTCCGCTACAAGCGGTATCCATCCCCGAGACGAGTATTCGCGTCTTACCCAGCTCGTGGGGATCGACTGCATCACTTCCCGTAAGCGCGGATTCGCACCTGTGTTGGGATCATCATCCACTTCCCGCCAAAACCGCCACTCTTCCAAGACATCCTCAAGGGGTAGCAGTGTGAGACCGAAGAAAAGGCCCTCTGAGCAACCAGCCGCAGACTCGGCTTCCTGTCCATCGACACATAGGTAAGACTCTCGGACGGTGGGGGGCAAGACCAGCCCCATAGACATCTCTACTTGGGCAAGGTCTTGTGGTAGTATACCGTAGTTAAGCGTATCGCCCAGCTCTGGATATTCTCTAGAGAGCCATCCACGCAGTCGGTCCCAAGTATGGGACAAAGGAGGGTACGCTGGCAGTGGCGGAAGGGAGGAGGAGGAATGGAGCGGAAGTATAGTTGATTGTCTTGAGCGTGTGCCAGCGCTATATAATGTCAGTCAGTCGACAAGCTCAGCTGAAAGGATATTTTGTGCCACAGACGTACGGGACATAATCGTATGCACCCCCGGATGATGGAGGAGGGTAAGAATACGATGAAGTGCTGGTTGTGGGTGTTGTCAATGTCTCCGGATTAAACGCATCCGGGTGGAAGCTAGGTGATGTAGTGGGCAGGCTGAACGCCTCATGGGTCGAGGACATTGCTTTTCGCGAGTTTAGCGAATTTTTCGACGAAGAGAAAATATTCGCTAGCCAGCTCATCGCGAAGACAGAACCCTTGTGGGCTGACGCGCCCGTAGTCGTAACAAGGGAAGGGATGGGGTGGACGGGTCGTCAGTTGATGCTGGTGGAGCCAGGAAGCCGGCAAGGCGATAGCAGGCGTGGCGGAGCGCCGTAGAGAAGTTTATCCGGACGAAAGGACTGGATGGACCACTGCTGGACGTTGCGAACGATGGACACGGCGGCGCCGAAGAATGGCAGAGAGGATAAGCGTGAACAAGACACTAGCCCCGACCTCGAGGCAACGACCCCAATACGGACCGACCGAGCTTGCGACTACGGCGCTTGGTGCAACCCATATCCCTCAGCGTCATCTCGCACGCCGCATGCGCAGCAGACACCCGTTTCACATTCGGTTCTCGTCGCCCGTCTTCTTGTCAAACACTGTTTTGATCCCATAAGATGAAGCAAGTAATAGTTATACAGCAAAGTCGGTATATGTACTGGTATATGATATACTACATCTGGCCAAGGTTACTCGAGACTTTGAAGTCGCAAGCTGTTTTCGCCTTCACCTCCTCCAGCGTCACGCCCTCTGCCAAGTCAATCAGCTCCAGCTGGCCAGCCTTGCGGTCCACGTTGAACACGGCTAAGTCCGTGACAATCATGCTGACCGCTCTCGCGCCGGTGATGGGCAGCGTGCATTCCTGGACAATTTTCGGTGTGCCATCCTTCGAACAGTGCTGCATGGTAACAATGACTTTCGTCTTGTCCGGGTTTGACACAAGGTCCATGGCACCACCGATACCTGCAAACTTGACCGTCAGTCAATGTGCGGTGATAACAGATAGGATACTTGCCTTTGACGAGCTTGCCAGGAATCATGAAATTTGCGACATCGCCCGCTTGCGAAACTTGCATAGCCTAACAAATTTGAGATGGGCCGTACAGCACCAATAACAGACACACTCACCCCAAGACATGTTACATCCATATGGCCTCCGCGGATCATATCAAATGATTCAATGGAGTCTGTCAAGTATGGTGTCAATGTCTGCACGAGGACGAATATAAAGCACCTACCAAAACATGATGCTCCGGGAACCAGTGTAGTGGTCTCCTTGCCAGCATTGATAATGTCCCTAGGGGATGATAGCATCAACCCTCCGCAGAGTACTGTGTTCACAAAAACCTACGCGTCCACTTGTTCCTCTGTCGGATAGGGACCCATACCGAGGATACCGTTCTCACTCTCGATCCAAACAGTCATACCAGGGTCCAAATGCTGGGAGCTGAGCTGAGTTGGCAACATCAAGCAGGATTGACGACAACGAACCTCAGGTACAAGCGTTGGGATTCCAACACCGAGGTTGACGTAGAAGCCATCACCAATCTCCTTCGCCGCACGTTTCGCGATACGGTGTCGCCAGTCATTAGAAGCCTTTTGAGAACTTTCACCAGACGATGGTTTCGAAACCTGTGCTTCCTTGCTTTGAGCAAGTGCTAGAACCTCAATGGCTTTGGGCTGAGTGGCGCGAACTATTCGATCGACGTAGATGCCAGGAATATGAATGGCGTTGGGCGACAAACTGCCTACCGGCCTGGAAGACGAATTGACTTAGTAAGGAATTCGAAAGTTTGCAGGCTAATTTATGCGCACACAATCTCCTCAGCCTATTGTACGCGTTAGTGTCTGTTCACACAAGAGTAGTTTGAATACTAGCCTCGACGATGGTAAGTTTCGCATTCCGGGCCATAACTGCGTTGTAGTTGTTAGCAGTATACCTGAACAGAGCTCAGTACCGTGGTATGGTCCTCAAAAATCACATAATTACCTGAATACCAGATTACCCACTTCGTCTGCCTTCCATGCATGCACAAAAGCAACGTCGCCAACCAGTGCAGGTTCGACAACGTATTTCCGTCCGTCGAATACCATGGTCTGTTTCTTATTACCAGGCACTTTCACACCATTCTTCATGCCTCCCGCGTTGTACTGAATGGGAATGTCACCGCTTTCAACAGCGGTTGACGCTCCCGTTGGTGTAAGGATTGCAGGGTATCCCGAGGCATACGCCTTCAGCCGCGCGACAAGGGTGCCTTGGGGGACGAGTTCGATACCGACTTCTCCATTCAGATACTTCGACTCCAGAAACTTGTTGCTGTAGAAGCGGGGTTGGGACGAAGGTCTGAGACGTAACCGAAAAGCACGTACCCTCCAAGATACGAGATCATCAGCTTCTCCAGCTGACCCGATTGGACCAGCCTCACTACCCCGCGCGTGAGTAATGCTTTCCGCCTTAAATCCGCATTACACATACCAAGACCAAGATCCTTTGCGCCGGCATTGTTGGAGACGGCAGTGATATTCTTGACATCCTGGCGGCGCGCCAAGGCCTCGATCAGTGTTTCTGGGATACCGCAAAGACCAAACCCTGCCCTCCCCGTTGAGCCGAGCTGGTTTCCGACGCATACACCGGGGGTGCTTACCTCCGCAGAGGACAACGTCCCCGCTCTTGACATCTTTCACAGCATCCTCCACCGAGTCCCAGACCTTGGTCTTCTGGGGTGTGGGAACATTCGTAACTACACTATAGAATCGGACGCGTGCAGAGATCACGACAGAATGGCGGAGAGTGTGAAGACGGGAGACTGGGGGTTTGAATCTCTGCGCCCACATGGCGATCTAGCACTGGGGTGGGAGAAGGAGCAAGAAGGAAGCACAACGGCGAGGTGCGCGCATAATGGCGGAGAGGGTATATATACCGTTGTTCTTCCAGGACGGACCGGCAATGGACACACCCTGGACCGGAGGACCTCCGTATACGTTCGCAGACACCCAGCCGTCGCCCCCACCAAAACGCGGCCTCCCTTTCCATATCAGGCAATTCGACGGGCGGCGGCGGCTACTGCCGTGTCTCCGATCTAAGTCCGATCTCTTCGCCACTCGTCGTACTCCAGCTTCAAGTTGGTTCCTGGCAGCCCCATCTTATGTACAAAAACAGCGTCTATTCAGCCGCACTACGCGTAGAAACAGGTAGGAAAAAACAATTGGCTGACTATGCACCCAACGCGCTGCACACCGCTCACATCGTCCCAAGGTTATCTGCAACCTGGAATTCACACCCGGTCTTTGCCTTCACCTCGTCTACCGTCACACCCTCTTGGACCTCCGTCAACGTCAGCTTTCCCCCATTACGATCCACGTCGAATACGGCAAGCTCGGTGATGATTTGGCTGACAGCTCTCGCCCCTGTCAGCGGCAGTTCACATTCTTGTAGAATCTTCGGGCTACCGTCCCTCGCGCAATGCTCCATCACGGCGATAACCTTGGTCTTGTCGGGGTTAGAGACAAGGTCCATGGCTCCTCCAATTCCCTTCACCATCTTGCCGGGAATCATAAAATTGGCGATGTCACCTGCTTGGGATACTTGCATCGCCTGACAAATGCAATCAGCTCTTTTCCCCCACATTCTCATCCACTACAGAGACCGACTTACTCCAAGAATCGCGATGTCAATGTGGCCTCCTCTGATCATCGAGAATGACTCGTTGGAATCTGCAAACCCACTGAATCAGTAAATCAATCATGATTTGATTCCTAGAGATTCACCAAACACGGAGGCCCCGGGCAGCAAGGTGACAGTCTCCTTGCCGGCATTGATAATGTCACTAGGGCATATCTCAGCTTCCTGAATTCCGGAGATGTTACCATATTGCACGTACGCGTCTAGTTGCTCATGTGTCGGGTAAGGGCCCATGCCAAGAATACCATTCTCGCTTTGAAGCCATACACGCACGCCTGGCGCAAGGAACTAGTTCCGACAAGGAAATTGAGTCAGAATTGATGGAACAAGACCACGCCCCGTGCATACCTCAGGTACAAGAGTGGGCATTCCAATACCCAGGTTAACGTGGAATCCATCTTTGATCTCCCTCGCTGCGCGCTTGGCTATCCGATGTCTCTGCTCTTGTGCGACCTTCTTCTCCGGTGTCAAGGGCGCGGCGTCTTCAGACTTAGTACTAGAGGCCATTGTTGTAATCTCGATTTGCTTGGGTGTCGTAGCTTCCACGATGCGATCCACATAGATGCCGGGAACATGTATCGCGTTTGGCGAAATCGAGCCAACGGGTACGATGTTTTCGGCCTGTCCATAGAGTATTAGACACCACGCGTACAGTCGCTGAATGCAATAGTACCTGACCTCGACAATGGTGAGCTTAGCATTTCTGGCCATTGTTGCTGAGAAGTTGTTTGCGGTGTACCTGTGAGGCAATCAGCCTGCCATGACTACTCGAAAAGTACACTTAGTCTGACCTGAACACACAGTTACCGACTTCATCGACTTTCCATGCTCTAATGAATGCAACGTCTCCAACAATTGATGGCTCAAGGATGAATCGTCGTCCATTGATAACTCGCGCTTCTTTCTTGTTGCCTGGGACTGCGACACCCTTCGAGAAACCGCCATCATTGTATCGAATAGGTATTGAACCTTCCTCTACTGCTGTCGAGGCTCCGGTAGGCGTAAAGAACATGGGGATGCCTGCCGCGTGTGCATTGAGACGTCCCACCAAGGAGCCCTGCGGTATTAGCTCAAGAGAAATTTTCCCATTCAAGTATAAGGATTCAAAATACTTGTTGCTGCGTGTTGCTTCACTCAGCGACAGGAGCATGAGAGCTTGACAGACCAATGACATACCCTCCAATATAAGAAGCCATCATTTTATCAATCTGGCCATTATGGAGAAGTTTGCCTGTGTGGTCCGCGTCAGTGAGAATGTCAGGTTCCCTGGTCCGTACACACCGAGGCCTAGCTCCCCCGAACCACAGTTGTTGGATACCGCAGTCAAGTTCGTTACATCGGATCTCTTCGCCAACGCTCCAATCAGGCTATCTGTGCTCTAAAGCCGTCAACTCGCAAGTCTAATGTGCCGCAATCCTAATTCCATACCGGGTGTACCACATAATCCAAACCCTGACCACGAGTCAGTGCTGATGTCTAAAAGTGAAAGTTGGTCGAGAACAGACCTCCACTGAGCAAAACATCCCCCGACTTGACATCCTTAACAGCTTCGTCCACGGAGTTATAGACCTTCGACTTCTTCGATACAGGGACGTCCGCTACCGTGCTGTATGCCTTGACCTTCAGACGGATGGCGAATGCTATCGGGGTGGTCAGGCGTTTAGCCGATCGCGATGCACGCCCGGTCTTTGCTACTGCAAGCATGATATGGGTCCAAGGACAGTCAAGACAAGTGTGCAGCGCTCAAGGGACGGGGTCGCGCTGATATATGAGTGACATGGCCCCCGGATGGGTAAGCCGAAAGTCCCTTGACTCTGAGACGTCCCGCACTCGTGTTCGGGCGACGGCTCGCCTGGCGCATGTGACCGACGCTAATTTCCCGAAATGGCGAACACTTCAGGAATCGGTCGTCGGTGGCGGCCGAGCGGGCGCTCCATTACCCCGGTTTCGTCCTCGTCTCAGCTCATTCCCGGAGTTCTTGTCACATTATAGTATGCGGCTACTGTACACTGCACTGAGCTCTACAAAGCAACGAAATTATTGTACCAACATGGACGCATTCTACTTCTTTTGCTTCATCGCTTTCTGCCAGGTCCCTTAGGTCGTGCAAACGGCTTCTTCTCGGTATTATGCACTGGAGCTTCTGCACTGTTAGTGGAAGTGAGATCGTTTGAGTCCAGCCATGATGTCAGAAATCCTTCATTCAATTCTGTGGGATCCGACGTTTCCACTCTGCGTGTCGTGAATGCAGGAATGCCTCCAGATGACGAGAGGATGCCATTCGCGTTACGGAAGACATCGTTTGATCCTAGAGAATACACCATGCGGTCTTTGACGGGCGAACAAGACGGACAGGAGTAGATGAAAACTAGCGTACTTCTTGTAAGCTATTGCTGGATGCGGAGATGAGATCATGACGTACTTAGATCCCGGCGAGGAGGCGATATACTATCTCGTTGCCAAGCAAAGAAAGCAAAGGCTATCCAGAAGAGTCAACAAGATTGCCAGTAGGTGCGACTTAATCTGTGAACGCACATGGATCTGAACTGGGTATAATAGATGCCAGCTTGTCAGCGCTGCACTTGGTTACTGATTGCAATTCCAACGTTTCTGAGGAGGGCTTGATACTCTGTAACCTCATCAGATCTCAGACATAATTAAATAGAGATGCATGCACACTCACAACAACTACTAGGGAACTACTATTTCCCAGAGCTAAATCTCTTACCGCATTTTCCACATCTTCCGTCCATTTCAAGCCGACATCAGACTTGACATGACTGCGCCTCGCTTGGCTTCCTTCGTATTGCAGACCTCCCGCCTCACGCTCCGCTGCTTTGACCGCCTCGATCTCTTTCTCCCTAGCACTCATGGGTTTTGGAGCGGCGAGGTGTTGTCTATGCTTTACATATGCTTCCGCAGAAATGTCATTCTTGTCCGTAGCAAATAAACTATCCGAAAAATGTGCAGAACCAAGAGACTTGGTTAGAGTAGTCCTCGTCGCAGCGTACAGCATCTAATAGCGCATTGAGTATAGAGGAAGGTCCTCGAGTAAACATACTAGAAACGCATACCTTATCTCTAACTTTAGCGGAGTCGGGGACATAATAGATGGCTAGCCACTGAGAGGGAGAGTCGTCCAACCTGACGAGGACGTATGCAGGTACATTATCCTCCAGAAGGCCACCTAGTATATCTAAATCCTCTTCCAAGGTCCCGGATGGTGCGGTTTGGCCATCAGGAACAAGTGATTCTGGGGAACGGCGAAGATATGAGCGGTCAAGACAAGCACGGAAAGGCAGACTGTAAGACCATTGCGGATAGAGACTTTGATAAACCTGATGTCTTGAGAAGCTACAGCATCCGAGAAAGCAGACGTGAGTTCTTCAGAGACAACAATCCCAGTAGGAGCAGACATGGCGGGAAGCAGTGAGTTGCGGATACCGACCGCGCGTTTAAACAACGTTTGGCGCAGCCGCGCAGTATCTCAGACTCAGAGTATCTCTGGCGCGTAGACGCATCGTCTCGCGCCCACAGCTTACCGCAGCTCTCCAACTGCTCTCTGCACTGGTACGTTTCCATCTTCTGCACAGCGACGATAGCATCACAAGAACTTATGATGTAACGGCAACCGTCAATACAGGAGGATAGCTTGAGCCTCGACGCTGTCTCTCGCCTTAGTTCACGCATTCACGACTACATAATGACCCTTTGACTTGTTTACCATGCCCGATACCACCATGAACAGTCCTCCATACGTACCGTACCAGGCCTACAAGGTGCGTGTATCAGGCTCTGCGAGTGTTCCAAGTGAGCGAGCTATGTTCAGTCCAAGAGACACACGAGAAACCAGTCCAGCCAGCCAGGCTCTAATGGCACGTCTTCCTCCCCGCAGCTTCGCCCGCAAACACCTACGTCCATTACCACCAATGGTCACTCTATGTATGAGCCTGCCATCCATCAGCGATCCGAAAGTCTGGGAGGGGTAGAACATCAACATCGTCCACGACCTTCCAACGGGGCGAGCATACCTCGACCTGCCTCGATGGTAGAGGCCCTGTCGAACCACGAGCATCCGGAGCCATTGCATTTTGACTACGTCACATATTCTCCGACTGCAAATTCATTTTCTGCGAAGGCATCGCCCACAACCCCATCCGAACCCCCTCGTACTCCGCCATCGCCCATAACGATCCCGCCATCACTATCGAAGGCTCTTGTGACAAATGGTGGTTCGTCGGTAACTATACCGCCTGTTGCAGGTCCTTCCAGTATGACTACTTTGTCTCTTACAAGACAGCCTGGTCCGACATCCCGCAAGACTTCGACATTCCGGCATGTACCACTACGCGCAAATAAAACGCGACCAGCGCTGCCCTCATCTCCTCTTCGCCCGGTGGATGCTCATGCGCGCACGTCATCCAATGCGTCTAACATCTCTCACCAAATTGACCAGTCGTGGCCGGCGCCGACGTCCAGCCAGGGCCCGTCGGAAGCCTCTTCGCCTGTTGTGCACAATGAGAGGGCTCTACCCGCGATACCCACTATTGAGCTTCCTCTCCTGCCTCCGCCTCCATGCCAGGATCCGGAAGGACACGCAACTTCTTTCCAGCCGTCTCCGAGTTCTGCTGTTGCGCCGCCTCGTTCAGCACCACTAGGTCAGTTCCACAGCTCGTCAACCATCTCTTCCCCGTCGCCTATGATTACCACGTCGTCTGTATCCTCTTCACCTCCGCCTCGTACAATTCCTCGGTCATCAGCACTCTACCGGCCTGGTTTTCAACCAAAGGGTGTCTACAGACCTCGAACTGATGAGTTCATGGAAGCGCGTAATAACCATAAGGATGTTGGGCGGGTCGAGCGCACGCGACTTGAACGACGACTTGAAAAGCTGATCAACCTACATTTTCCTCTTGGGGGACACGAGTTGAAGGAAAAGGAAAAGGTCTCACAGGTTGATGAGCGTCGGTCAAGACAGAGTAACAAACGCCTATCATCAATTTTCGATATAGACTTCTCGGAGCTGAGGAGCAAGAGTGCAAGCGATCTGTGGAGGGATGTGCTGCAGTCTCAAGTCGCGCCAGGAGTGAAGAACGACATACGAGGTGATGAGATTGCTTCTCCGCGACATGACAAGAATACTTATGATTGGAACTATGTACTGTAGCTGCGGAACAAACCATCACACCGTGGGAGGATGATGCGAAGGTGTCACAGTGCCCGTTATGCTCGTAAAGGTTTTCCTTTGCGAAGCACCCGCCTATCATGCTGACCTTGTTCTCTCTGTACCAGAGCTGCATTCCATCCTCTAACAAATCGCAAACATCACTGCCGTTTATGTGGTCGAATCATATGCTCACTGCCTATCAAGTATCCCCAGCGCCCACAGTCATGCTCGCTGTTGTTCGTCGTAGACTCTAAAACTGGACGCATTGAAGAAGTTAGCGAGGGTGTTGATTACGGCGTACGACGGCGAACTACCTCCTCTTCACATGGTAAGAGGGGGAAAGAAGATGCCGTTGGTGATGACGAGAAGTTCTTAAAAGGTGTCAGGATATGTCGAGATTGTCAGCCTGTCCTTCTGTGCGTATCTTCTCATTGTGTGCGTGACAGCCCTGCTGACTGCATTTGCGTTGTATTTTAAGCCGAGAGCAGTACAAACAGGAGGTGCACAACGTGCCTATTTTCTTCAAGTTATATGATGTTTGTCGTGTCCTCTGAATGGTAATGACATGATACTGACGTGGCGCACAGGCTTTCATTGGCATCGAGAAGGAAATAGAAGATGCTCTACCTCAATTTCAAGAACTTATGTTGAGCTTGAGGTTGGATATCATCCTAAGTCTGTTGCTTTCCCATTTCCCATTAACACAAATGTAGTAAACAAGAACGGCCAACGCCAGAAGCCTCTGCCGCCCGGAAACGGTTGCTTGAGGCGTTCGGCCAGTATGACGTCTTGGCTAAACGAATACGACAGCTCCCGTGTCCTGGTGGATCCGGTGGTTCCCAAGATCACATTCAAGCTGCCGTCCATACACGTGCCAACCTATTTCTGCAAAAACATATGTTCCCTCTACAGGTGATATGTTACTGTGTATGGCTGATTACCTCATGTTAACGCGAAATCTTTATGCAGTCGTTGCCGAAGTCGAAGAATAGTCCTAAATCTCAAGCTTCTTCACAGCCGAATGAGCAGGGCATTGATCTTGACTCCGAAGTCGCTCGTGTATTGCAACCCTTGCTTGAGCAAGAAGCCCTACTGGAATCTTTTGTTGAGGAGGCAAAGGCTCACAGGAAATTTGAGGATGCCAAAACCTTGAAGATCAGCTTACAGGAGATAAGAGCAGAAATCAATAGGGTTATTGTCAATGCTGAGGCAGGAATGGGTAGTCAAGATCAAACAAAGGCAAGAGGACAAGGATCTTGAACAGATTCAGTTTACATTAGTTCTTACTATTCTCATCGCTGTCTCGTACTGTCTCAATGGTTCTGACTAGATTCTCATTTTGTGCCGAATGAAAGGGACGATTATTAAGCCTGTAGCCGTAAACTCATTAAGACAAATGGTAACAGTGACCGAGAACAAACAATTTGATAATTTATCTCAACATGATGGAACTGGATTCCAGCCGTCAACCAGTAACGACCGGAGAATCATCAGCAACGTCCCTGCGAAATGGTCCCAAAGGAGCAGTAGGAAGGAAAAATGTTTGATGAGGCAAAGCGCTGTAAGGCAGCTCCCTCCCAGATGGTGCCAGTCTCGAGCTGGCGGACGGCAGCGCGCTACGGGTACGCGACAGGTTGGTCCCAAGTTTGCCGTCATCGCCCAGTCCAAGAGGGCTGGGATGCGCGACAATGGGAGAATACGGCCGAGGCGTCTGTGCAGGAGAAAAAGAGGAAACGTGCAACAGGATAATAAATTCTTCCGTAGCGTTCGTCAATTTCACCATGTTTGTTCGCAAAGTTGAGAATAGCGGGTGGGCTGCAATATGCGTCTTCATGGCAGTGGACAATTGGATAACCGTCTGGTTAATGCCGCCTCAATCAGTTCGTATAAGCTATCTTGATATGGAAGCCAGCTGACCTTTGCGAAGCCACGCGCATCATCGTGCAGAGGTTTCCTGTCAGCGGCCGGTGTACCATCCTGTATCGCGTCGATATTCTGTCCTAATCTGTCCGCCGCTTCCTTTGCTTTATTTAGAATATGTTTTAGATCCTCCTTTATATCCTTCACTTCTTGTAAAATCTCGCTCGTCATGACCCAGATCGCCGGTGCAGCATCAAGCGCTGCCCTCATGGCACTAATAGCTTCCTTGTCCACGAGAGTATTAGTGCTTGAGGGGACCTCAATCTGCCCAAGTCGGGACACAAGGGAGACTGATGATGATGACGCGAGGAGAGAGCTCTGAGACCCTTGACGGGAATGTGACTCGGAGGAAGTGGCTGATTGATACACTGACCCGGGAAATGTACTGTCCGGATAATGCAGCCCTGTCGAGGTAGTCAGGGGTGTCTGGTTGAGTGAAGCGGAGCCAAGGGGTGTCGCAACTCGTCTGGTCATCCGTGGCACAGGAGTTGGCGGTGGGGCACCATTCAGGACTACGGTGGTCAGTGAAGGGACGTCAATGAATGATGGTAGCATTTTGCCAATCTCAACGTCCTTGGAACTGAACGAACCTGCATGCCGACGCGTCATGCGGGTTTTTCCATGATCAGGAGAGTTTGGAGAAATATTGGGTCTCGGACGCGGGTGGTCGAGAGGCAAGAAGGTGGATGGTCCAGCAGGTGCGGAGACTGGGGTTCTAGTAGAATCGATACCATTCACACCTGGCGTCCGAGACAGCTGGCTTTGAGTGGCGTACGACTTTGCAGGAGGTGGTGGCCGCACCTCCCAAAGCAGAGGTTTTACTACTTCTATACGGCTAGCGATAGCTTGCCACGAACCAGCGATCTCGGCCATTGCTCCATAGAGTGTGAGCAACATCTGTCGAGTATAACGAACGTCGTCGTGTGTCGCCAGTATCTTCAGCTGTAATGCCAGAACTCCCACTGCTTTCCCAAAAACAGTGACATTGTCTCTGCAGCTTTCAATGACTGTTCTGCAGACCGGCGGCGGCGGAAGGGCTTTCCTACTGATAGAGTCGAAACGGTCGAGCGCACCGATTAGCTGGGAAATGTACACACTTGCAGGATCCAAAACTTTCAGGAGAACGGCCGACAATCGCTCATCAATGGCGTACACTGTGTAGTGTTGTAGAGTTTCGTAAATTTGTGAGACACCAAAGAGAATCCCTCGGACGGCATCAACCAGAGCAAGCAAATCTTCTGGGATTTTTTTTGCAAGGTCGAGCGGCGTTAATGCAGATAGACGACGGAAATAAGAATGTCGCTCCTTATCCATGGGAGGTGCAGGCCTATGGGTCAATGTGGGATCTGGAATGGGCGGATCTTCCGGCGAGTGGTGTGAACTAAATCGCAATCAGCTCAATTGCTTTCATATGACATAGAAGCGCAGAAGTAACCAACCTGCTCAACCCGTACGATCCGACCAACGAAGCAGATCGTTTGGCATAAATTTTTTCGTCTCTGTCTGTGTTGAGATGTAACTTTGCCAATTGTAAATCAGGGAAGCTATTCTTGACAGTCAGGTTGCTACTAGCTGATCCTCGATGCGCCCCATGAGGTAGATAATCGTTCGAATTATGTGATGGTTCCAATTCTAGCGCAGTGGTCTGTGACTCTTCACTTCCAGAGACCTCATCTGACGGATAATACGAATCAGGAGATCTGGCAGGAGATGTGTCGTTGCTAGCCGGGAATACGGTCGCAAACTGGAGAGGGAGAGGGAAGTTGGGCTTATCAGAACGCGAGGACCTATTCGGCTCATCGCTACTACGCGACCGTTCCAACTGAAAATATGTCGAAGCGTCCGACTCCAGTGAGAAAGAACGGGCATGATAGAGAGCAGTTGCCTGTAGTCCAGCTTGTGGCGGGGATGACTGAGGTACTGAACTAAGATTGAGATCACTGAGCAGGCAGATAAGTCAAAATAATCATCCAGTCGTGAAAACGAGCACCTACGTGGTTACATCAGGAAGGTCTCGACAAGATGACACACTCTGGAGGGAGTCTTCACTCATCTTCCGTTCATAGGGAGAAGGGAGATTGTCTCCTAGCCATTGCTGGACACGGCTGATCCATTCGGACATAACTTGAGAGTCATTTGGGTCACCTGAATATTGAAGAACTGATTTTGGAGGCCACTGTATCGGATTCTGGTCGACTTTGAAAAGGGTTAACTGTCGAAATCGAGAGAGATAGGCTGGGAGCCTTTGTATTTTGTTGCGCATAATAGAAAATACCTAGAGACATAGATAACTTATAGTGAGGCAAAGAAGATATTTATAGCCGCCTATACCTTTAAGTTCACAAGCGTTCCAGGCTCGCGAGGAAATCGTTGGATTTTATTACGACTGATATCCAGTATCTCCAAAGACGGCATCACAGTCAACTGTACGTAGTATGGACATCAACGTCTACATTTCAATTTATAATCGTGGGATACGCACAACATCCGGAAAGACAGAGAAGTTATTATTCCTGAGGACCAAATATCTCAGACGTGATATCAGTGCGAAGGCCATTGGTAGGGTCGTCAAGCGATTGTAGGCGAGAGCAATCCTGTCAGACGTATTAGGCCAGTACCTGGCATACAATATAAACTAATCACCTCACAACGGTAGCATCCCCATCGTCCTCTTGACCGAAAGTTGCGAGCTGTTCAGCGCCCGATTCCCCCACATCCGTCAAACCTTTGTGCGCCAGATCCAGCGTGGCACCATTATCTGGAGAATTGGAGAGGGCTTCGATTATATGCTCTCGACTGAGGGCTATGGACAAAAAGGGAGACGAGATGCCATTTCTGAACGATGGAGAAGAATCTCGGCCGTCAACATCGGTACTGAACATCCGCGTATGACCCAGAGAGACCAGCAGAGTAACGACGGAGGAGATACCAGACTCGGCGGCGACTCAAGCTACAAGCGACTGAGCCTCGACGTCGACGGTGTTGAACAAGTCCGGCAGCGGTCATAACTTCGGCACACCCAGCGGGCCGGAGGTTGCCCGCTTACGACTAGCTTTACCAAGTCACACCATTGGTTCGGTTTCTCCGTCATGTTCCAAATATGCAACAACAGTAGATCGATAATAGAACACTCGAAAATTACAACAAGAGTTGAATCCAATAATATAATACATCTCCAGGCCTCGCCCACATTTAGCTGGAGTACTTGGACTCGAGGCCCTTCTTAATTGCTAAGATGGCGCATAATTAGAACACATGCATTCACATAGATGGTCGAACTTGCCTTCACAAGTGTCTTTAGCATCACCAAAAAGCATCTTCGTACCCGGCATGTAGAACATCGGGTTGGGCACGTCGGCTGTATAAGCATCATGGTCAGATCCCAACAGC